ACCTGTCAGACAGTTGATCCAAGTGTCTGCCTGATGTACACAACCTGTCAGACAATTAAGCCGGGCCTGTGCCTGATGTACACAACCTGCCAGACAGTTCAGCCAGGCCTGTGCCTGATGTACACGACCTGCCAGACAGTTCAGCCAGGCCTGTGCCTGATGTACACGACCTGCCAGACAGTTCAGCCATGCCTGTGCCAGTGATGAAGAAACCTAAGCCTCCTTTAGGCAACTGCCATCTCAGATTTCTTCTGTAGAAAACGAAGTTGTAGAACTTTTCCTTCTGACAACCTTGCAAAATTTCATACTCTTGTTAAAAGATATAACGAATTACACACTCCTGTTTTTTTTTTAAAGAGAACAAACATACATAATCCTGTAAAAAAAAAAAAATCATAAGTACTCATTACTGTTTAAAAAAAAAAAAATTACACATTTGAAGGAAAAAAAATGCCTATCCCTGTTTAAAATTCAAAAAAAATTACCTATTCTTGTTTAAAAAAAAAAATTACATACTTCTGTTAGAAAACACAAAACATAATTACATATTCATGTTGAAAACAGCATGTCGTAAGAGTCGACTAATTGGGAGCTTCCTTCGAAGTCGGAGTGCATCTGCCTGAGAGGCGAGAAACCAGCAGTCTGCACACAAATGAGTCAGATCTGTAAAACAGATGCACACTCAACACTTAGGTTTTGGAACAGGACTGCAGTCCAGAAGTGGATGAACAACCAGAACTTTCCGCCAGAGTTTACAGCTGGTGACCGCGAAGAAGAAGAATAACCTGAATAGCACTGTCTGGATCTGTTCTCTGGGGCATGCCATTGTGTTGGAAAATGAACACAGAATGAACCAGACGTGCTGGTTCTGCACAGATTGGTAGAATATTGATGCATGATAAGTGGTTAAGTCCTTATGAGAGTATGTGTACAATTTGGAACACCCCCCACCCCCCTCCCGCCCCCCCCCCCAAAATTGATCATCACAATCTGGTGAGACTGATGCAGCAGTGTGTGACCAGAGGTTCTGTTCGATACTAGAAGCTCAGAGGAAAGGCAACATGGACATATAATCAAACTGCTACCGGCAACATTTGTGTTGGAACTCTAAGTTAGCTATTGAAAATGGGGACATAGCGCTTATGGGAATGCCCCAAGCGCTGTGATGTCGTTTATTGAATCAACTCAGCTCAGCAGAACTCCCACAAGAAAACAAAGCACGATCATTCCTACGTAAAAACTGCACATAATGTTTGTTGTTTGGACACCTTGTCATGCTTGTCGTGTGACTGCAATAACTTATCAAGTTTGTATTGCATTCTGGTAATCTGCAGTGTCTGATTGCGATAACTGGTAATGTCTGTGTGATTGTGTATTCTCCTAGGGGGGCATGAAGGCAGTGTGTGATTGCGATAACTGGTAATGTCTGTGTGATTGTGTATTCTCCTAGGGGGGCATGAAGGCAGTGTGTGATTGCGATAACTGGTAATGTCTGTGTGATTGTGTATTCTCCTAGGGGGGCATGAAGGCAGTGTGTGATTGCGATAACTGGTAATGTCTGTGGGATTGTGTATTTATCTAAGGCGGCATCAAAGTAGTGTGTGATTGCGATAACTGGTAATGTCTGTGTGATTGTGTATTCTCCTAGGGGGGCATGAAGGCAGTGTCTGATTGCGATAACTGGTAATGTCTGTGTGATTGTGTATTCTCCTAGGGGGGCATGAAGGCAGTGTCTGATTGCGATAACTGGTAATGTCTGTGTGATTGTGTATTCTCCTAGGGGGGCATGAAGGAAGTGTCTGATTGCGATAACTGGTAATGTCTGTGTGATTGTGTATTCTCCTAGGGGGGCATGAAGGCAGTGTCTGATTGCGATAACTGGTAATGTCTGTGTGATTGTGTATTCTCCTAGAGGGGCATGAAGGCAGTGTCTGATTGCGATAACTGGTAATGTCTGTGGGATTGTGCATTTATCTAAGGCGGCATCAAAGTAGTGTGTGATTGCGATAACTGGTAATGTCTGTGTGATTGTGTATTCTTCTAAGGCGCCATGATTGCGATAATTGGTAATGTCTGTGTGATTGTGTATTCTCCTAGGGCGGCATGAAGGCAGTGTTGTGGACTGACAGTTTCCAGTCAATCATGATGATCATCAGTCTGCTGGCTATCGTCATCAGGTCATCGGTTGTGGTCGGAGGATGGGACGCTGCCTGGCAATCTGGCCTGAGAACCAATAGGATCTGGTTTACTGAGCAAGTCTTGCCAGATTGTCTCTTCCCATTATCAGTTTTCATAGCTCACTCACAGCCACTGTATATTCAGACAACAAGAGTACACTCATACATTGTTTTAACAGATTATTGTCTGATACTGCATTTTATCTGTAGTTTTTGAAATAAGGTCTGTTGCAGCGAAAATCAACATTTACATTTATCATTATCATCATCAGGTGCCTTATCGACTGGCGTGGACGATCATGCCTCTCCACAATCTGCGATCTCTTGCAGCATGTATCAGTTCGTGTGCTGACACACCTCCATGCCATGCAACAAGAATGTCAAGCATCTTCTCTCGTTGTCTTCCCCTGTCCCTCCTTCCACAGATCTTTCCAGTGTTCACACGTTCTATGTTCCCTTATCCTTTAACATGGCCGAAAAATGATGACTGTCTCCTTCTGATGTCTTTGATAAATTGTCTTCGGGCTCCCACCTCTTTCAAAACCTCTTGGTTGCTTTTTTTCGGCTGTCCAAGGTATTCTAAGCATTCTTCTGTAAAACTACATCTCTGTGGCCTCTAGAAATTGTTTGGCCTGCCTACCGATTCTCCAGGACTCACAGCCATATGTTAAAACTGGATGTATGTAGCAAGCAAGAATTCTTTTTCTAACCCTCAATGACAAGGATATATTGCATAAGATGTTCTTCATTTGATAAAACACAGTTTTTATCTGTCCTCTTCTGTTTCTTATCTCAGTAATGCATCAACCATCTGATGTTATCCATGTGCCCAGATACCTGATACATATACATTACAAACAGGAAAAAAAAAGTACCATTAATCAAGCCTAATATTCACGGTGGCAATGTTGAAAAAAAATAAAATAAGTGTTATAATATTTTTGTATATTTTCAAACCATACTTTATATGGATAGAGTAGTCATGTTCATTACATTCGTCGATCAAATAGTGGCGCCTTAAACATGTATTCTGACCTTGTACCAGGAGGTCAAGGGTCAGGTGTAGCTGCTCGGGTGACAGTAGAGAGCTCGGTTAACTACTTTAAACCGTCTATCACTCTAATATTTTCCGGTGTAAAAGATTCTGTAAGAATGATAATTGTGTCTATTATGAACACTTACAATCTTGTTCTTGGTCTGACCGTCCATAAAGTTACTCACTTCTATAATTGGTTACTGTCCTGGTTATCGACCGCCGCCAGCGCCAGACTTCATCTGTTGATCCGTTAAACGAAGATCTGTGTGTACTTGTGTACAAGGACTGGTGTTTGTTTAGCATTTTCCGGCGGCTTTACAGAACGGCAACCAAGCAGCAACAGATCACCAGCGCAGCGACCAGCACGAGGTAAACCAAGCACAAGCAACAATCAGCTAAAATGTTGTGCATTCACACCTCACCATGTTGTATATATAAACTAACTAACAATGTTGTACATTTACACAACCTCACCAAGTTGTACATACAAACTAACTCACATTGTTGTACTTTTATACCACCTCACCATGTTGTTCATTTAAACTAACTAACAATGTTGTACATTTACACAACCTCACCATGTTGTACACATAAACTAACTCACAATGTTGTGCTTTTACACTAGCTGACATTGTGTTTTACACACACCACCTCACAGTGTTTTACATTTACTCCACCTCACAATGTTTTGCATTTTCTCCACCTCACAATATTTTACATTTACTCCATGTCACAATCACACACCACCTCACAGTGTTTTACATTTACTCCACCTCACAAAGTTTTACATTCAGTTCACCTCACAGTGTGTTACACACACACACACCACCTCAGAGTTTTTTATATTTACTCCACCTGACAGTGTTTTACACACACACACACACACACACACACCACCTCAGAGTGTTTTACATTTATTCCACCTCACAGTGTTTTACACACACACAAATCACCTCACAATGTTTTACATTTACTCCAACTCACTATGTTTTACACACACACACCACCTCACAGTGTTTTACATTTATTCCACCTCACAGTGTTTTACGTTTACTCCAACTTACAACGTTTTACATTTACTCCACCTCACAATGTTTTACACACACACACACACACACACCACCTCACAGTGTTTTACATTTACTCACCTCACAATGTTTTACATTTACTCCAACTCACTATGTTTTACACACAGACTTGATCTCACTGCTCTGTTTATGCACTGCCTTACATGTATGCACACTACCTCATATTGTTAAACAAACACACTGCATCACAAAGCTCTATATACACTCACTTTAATATACAGTCCATGTGAAATTACAGCCTTACAGTACTGATTGTAACAAATATTTACAAGATGCGTTTATAACTATAGATGTTGTGCACTTCTTTCTTCCAGTCTCTGCATTGACCCTTAAGTCAATCTATAACTTCCATTACCCCTTTCCTGCAGCTTTCGTGTGGACCCCTCTGTCAGACATAGTGTCTGGGCACTAGCCTTTGGTGCTTATTTCACATGGGTCGCCATCTTTGGGACCAACCAGGCAATGGTACAACGAACTGTGACTTGCCCTACACTAAGGAAAGCACAACTGTAAGTCTGTGTCTGTAATGTATAACTAATTAGTTAGATAGTTAGTCAACAGTTTATCCCCATTATCAAACTAGCCAGTCCAAAAGTGCTCGAATCTATTCGTTAGTAAATCCCACAGCGTTCAACGGCTAACAACATCCAGTATGTTTTGATTTATTCTTCTTCTTTGGTTTCTTACATAGTAAACTTGTCTGATCACATTCCTTGTAACTTGTTCTTGCAGTGATCAACAGTGGTCACTTGATTTTTGTAAATTTCTTACTACTCGTAGAGCATTCAATACATCATCCTATTCCAATCAGCTTGCTTATTTCCCTTTACGCCTGCATACTGTGGCATGAAAATGAAACTAATCTTTGTCAGCAGTGACTGCCTCAGAGACACAAACCACTGTCTTCGAGCCCAATCCATCGTCTTGGCTGAGTTACCGAGAAAACATGCCCAAATGAAGATCAGTGTCTCTAGGCAAGTTACTGCTTTAGTTACTTCCATGACCCAAGGATCAGACTATTGGTGTACAGTCACCAGCATCTTCCCCATCCAGTCTCAGCTGTCAAAGCCTGAGCCTTCAAGGGGTTGAGCAACAAACCCATGTGTGTCTAGGCAAGTTACTGCTTTAGTTACTTCCATGACCCCAGGATCAGACTACTGGTGTACAGTCACCAGCATCTACCCCATCCAGTCTCAGCTGTAAAAGAATGAGCCTTCTAGGCGTTGAGCAACAAACCCATGTGTGTCTAGGCAAGTTACTGCTTTAGTTACTTCCATGACCCCAGGATCAGACTACTGGTGTACAGTCACCAGCATCTTCCCCATCCAGTCTCAGCTGTAAAAGCCTGAGCCTTCAAGGGGTTGAGCAACAAACCCATGTGTCTCTAGGCAAGTTACTGCTTTAGTTACTTCCATGACCCCAGGATCAGACTACTGGTGTACAGTCACCAGCAACTTCCCCATCCAGTCTCAGCTGTCAAAGTCTGAGCCTTCAAGGCGTTGAGCAACAAACCCATGTGTGTCTAGGACAGCATCAGACTTCAAGGCGTTGAGCAACAAACCCATGTGTGTCTAGGACAGCATCAGACTTCAAGGCGTTGAGCAACAAACCCATGTGTGTCTAGGACAGCATCAGACTTCTAGGCGTTGAGCAACAAACCCATGTGTGTCTAGGACAGCATCAGACTTCTAGGCGTTGAGCAACAAACCCATGTGTGTCTAGGACAGCATCAGACTTCTAGGCGTTGAGCAACAAACCCATGTGTGTCTAGGACAGCACCAAACTTCTAGGCGTTGAGCAACAAACCCATGTGTGTCTAGGACAGCATCAGACTTCAAGGCGTTGAGCAACAAACCCATGTGTGTCTAGGACAAAATCAGACTTCAAGGCGTTGAGCAACAAACCCATGTGTGTCTAGGACAGCATCAGACTTCTAGGCGTTGAGCAACAAATCCATGTGTGTCTAGGACAGCATCACACTGGCAAGAATTCTGACCAATCAAAGCCTGAACTTCCGTCTTTACAGCAGATGAATCTTGTTAACTACACTTTCTGTCTAGTCGGCTACATACCATAAAATGTTAGAATGTGTATCCAGTCCTGGCTAGGTTCTATATCATCGCTAGGTTCTATATACTGGCTAGGTTCTATGTCCTGGCTAGGTTCTATGTCCTGGCTAGGTTCCATGTCCTCGCTAGGTTCTATGTCCTGGCTAGGTTCCATGTCCTGGCTAGGTTCTATGTCCTGGCTAGGTTCTATGTCCTGGCTAGGTTCTGTGTCCTGGCTAGGTTCTATGTCCTAACTAGGTTCCATGTCCTGGCTAGGTTCTATGTCCTAGCTTGGTTTCTATATCCTGGCTAGGTTCTATGTCCTGGCTAGGTTCTATGTCCTGGCTAGGTTCTATGTCCTGGCTAGGTTCTATGTCCTGGCTAGGTTCTATGTCCTGGCTAGGTTCTATGTCCTCGTGTGGCACAGTCGTGCCTTGATATCCCCCAAGAAATAGATATGCCTAGTTCGGCCAAGGTGAATGGATACAGTTCGTAGCTCTCTTTGATCGTACTCAAGAACAAGGCCAGTGATGTAACAATTACACAGCAGTTTATTTATTAATAAACTTATCAAGTAAACAGAATGAATCATTCAAAAACAATATTATAAGAGCGCTTCATTATCTTATTACTGGCTATTCTTATGTCTCTCTATGAGTTCCTTAATCACTCTCTTAGCTAAACTCCAAGTTTAATATATATAACTTCTAAACGAAGTCCAGCTCTAGTTTTCCTGACTGGTCTCTCAAGCGGTCTAGTCCTAACTGTCCTCTCAAGTGGTCCCGTCCTGACTGCCTTTCTCCTCCCCCTTCTGCCCCTGGCTACTCACTTCCCCTCGCTTTCCCGCTCTTTCTGGCGTGCCTTCTCAATCACCCCCTGGCATCTGTCTCTGGTGGTCACGTTTGGATAAACGTATCGTCAGTTGGACACGTGCATCGCGTTGCTCACGGGTACTCGTCGACCTCCCTCTCTGTCGTATGTTTTCATCCTTCTGTCAGATGTCATGGTATTACTCAGATAACCGCACTCAATTCAACTCTGGTCACCGTGCAGATGTTCTGTATCGCTGGCCAGGCCAGCTTTCTAATCACCCATTTATGACATGTCACACAGTGATGGATTAGTATGCCTTGATGGTGTTCTGAAATGTATTTATTCGTGTAACCCCTTTCTGCCTATATTTCATCACACTCGCTAGGTTCTATGTCCTGGCTAGGTTCTGTGTCCTCGATAGGTTCTATGTCCTGGCTAGGTTCTATGTCCGGGCTAGGTTCTATGTCCTGGCTAGGTTCTATGTCCTCGGTAAGTAATATATCCTGGTTAGGTTGTATGTCCTGGCTAGGTTCTATGTCCTGGTTAGGTTCTATATCCTGGCTAGGTTCTATGTCCTGGCTAGGTTCTATGTCCTAGTTAGGTTCTATATCCTGGCTAGGTTCTATGTCCTGGCTAGGTTCTATGTCCTGGCTAGGTTCTATGTCCTGGCTAGGTTCTATGTCCTGGCTAGGTTCTATGTCCTGGCTAGGTTCTATGTCCTCGTTAGGTAATATGTCCTGGTTAGGTTCTATGTCCTGGCTAGGTTCTATGTCCTGGTTAGGTTCTATATCCTGGCTAGGTTCTATGTCCTGGCTAGGTTCTATGTCCTGGTTAGGTTCTATATCATGGCTAGGTTATATGTCCTGGCTAGGTTCTATGTCCTGGCTAGGTTCTATGTCCTCGCTAGGTTCTATGTCCTGGCTAGGTTCTATGTCTTGGATAGGTTCTATGTCCTGGCTAGGTTCTATGTCCTGGTTAGGTTCTATGTCCTGGCTAGGTTCTATGTCCTGGCTATATTCTATGTCCTGGCTAGGTTCTATGTCCTGGTTAGATTCCATGTCCTGGCTAGGTTCTATGTCCTGGCTAGGTTCTATGTCCTGGTTAGATTCCATGTCCTGGCTAGGTTCTATGTCCTCGCTAGGTTCTATGTCCTCGCTAGGTTCTATGTCCTGGTTAGGTTCTATGTCCTTGCTAGGTTCTATGTCCTCGCTAGGTTCTATGTCCTGGCTAGGTTCTATGTCCTCGCTAGGTTCTATGTCCTCGCTAGGTTCTATGTCCTTGGTAGGTAATATATCCTGGTTAGGTTCTATGTCCTGGCTAGGTTCTATGCCCTCAGTTGAACAAGCTGTTGAACAATTGTATCCAGTCCTAGCTAGGTTTTATGTCCTCAGTTGAACAAGCTGTTGAACAATTGTATCTAGTCCTAGCTAGGTTTTATGTCCTCAGTTGAACAAGCTGTTGAACAATTGTATCCAGTCCTAGATAGGTTTTATGTCCTCAGTTGAACAAGCTGTTGAACAATTGTATCCAGTCCTAGCTAGGTTTTATGTCCTCAGTTGAACAAGCTGTCAAACAATTGTATCCAGTCCTTGCTATGTTCTATGTCCTCAGTTGAACAAGCTGTCAAACAATTGTATCCAGTCCTTGCTATGTTCTATGTCCTCAGTTGAACAAGCTGTCAAACAATTGTATCCAGTCCTTGCTATGTTCTATGTCCTTAGTTGAACAAGCTGTTGAACAATGTATTGCTTTATTGCTCTTATCGTACTATCACCATTTGCTTCACATAGATGTGTGCCAGAATTTGCACAAGGCAGAAGTTCTGAAATGGACTGAGAAACATTTGCACTCACACACATATTCCCCTAAATGGTTGCTTTCTTCTAAAGGATCACACTTTGTACACCATATTACAGTGGACAAAGTCTAGAATACATATGTGGATTCAAATATGTGTATGCTTGAATTACATATACTATTAATAAAGTATGTGTGTGGTGGGGGGGGGGGCGTGGTGGGGGAGGGGGCGTGGTGCGGGGGTGGGGGGGGGGGGGTTTCTCGTGTTGAAGTTTAGCTTTGATGGCCACCTGTTGCATACTGGAATTCAGGATTTTAACAAGCACAATGTGTCTACATGGGTCTACATGGGTCTACATGTGTCTACATGGGTCTACATGGGTCTACATGTGTCTACATGGATCTACATGGGTCTACATGTGTCTACATAGGTCTACATGGGTCTACATGGGTCTACATGGGTCTACATGGGTCTACATGGGTCTACATGTGTCTACATGGGTCTACATGTGTCTACATGTGTCTACATGTGTCTACATGGGTCTACATGTGTCTACATGGGCTCTTCAAGTTTTCACTCTTATCTGAAAAGACTAGGTAACAGATCCATAGTTCTATTATTACAAATGGAAGTTTCATCATTTTCTCATGTACAGGCAAATTGAGCAGGTGGGACAAGAACCAGACAAATCTGAACTGTTGGGCTGTCCACTAATTGTTTACTGTCCAGTCAGGGATAAATCTGAACTGTTGGGCTGTCCACTAATTGTTTACTGTCCAGTAAGAGATAAATCTGAACTGTTGGGCTGTCCACTAATTGTTTACTGTACAGTCAGAGATAAATCTGAACTGTTGGGCTGTCCACTAATTGTTTACTGTCCAGTCAGAGATAAATCTGAACTGTTGGACTGTCCACTAATTGTTTACTGTCCAGTCAGAGATAAATCTGAACTGTTGGGCTGTCCACTAATTGTTTACTGTCCAGTCAGAGGTAAATAATGTTTAGTGTTTGATTGTATTGAAAACTGGTGACATTTCTCAGGGCTATGTGGCTGAACTTCCCGGGACTGTGTGTCATCCTCTACATCAGCTGTGTTATCGGCATGTTCATGGCTGCCTTCTACGAGAAATGTGATCCCATGAAAGCCAAATTTGTTGACGATTCTAATCAGGTATAACAACTTTTCATGTATTTTAAAACTTACGAGGCCACAGTTCAGCCTAGCTTCTACACTAGTACCAGATTATTGCACAGAAAAATGACAATGTGTGCAGTCTGCAGACGTCTAAATGAAATCATAACTCTGTCAACAGTTCAATCAGTTATCCTTAATTGTATGCACATGCTTCCTTGTAATCTCTGTGCTCAGATTGCACTTGAACTGTCCAATATTTTGTGTTGATGTATATCCATGTACCTATGTGTGTTGATGTGTGTGCATGTACATGAATGTATGTAGTGATTTGTATCCATGTACTTGTGTGTTGTGATGTGTGTCCATATACTTGAATGTATGTAGTGATTTGTATCCATGTACTTGTGTGTGGTGATGTGTCTCCGTGTACCTGTGTGTGGTGATGTGTGTGCATGTACCTGTGTGTGGTGTTGCGTGTCCATGTATCTGAGTGTAGTGATGTGTGTGCATGTACCTATGTGTGGTGATGTGTGTGCATGTACCTGTGTGTGGTGATGTGTGTCCATGTATCTGTGTGTGGTGATGCGTGTCCATGTATCTGTGTGTGGTGATGCGTGTCCATGTATCTGTGTGTGGTGATGCGTGTCCATGTATCTGAGTGTGGTGATGCGTGTCCATGTATCTGTGTGTGGTGATGTGTGTCCATGTATCTGTGTGTGGTGATGTGTGTCCATGTATCTGTGTGTGGTGATGTGTGTCCATGTATCTGTGTGTGGTGATGCGTGTCCATGTATCTGAGTGTGGTGATGCGTGTCCATGTATCTGTGTGTGGTGATGTGTGTCCATGTATCTGAGTGTGGTGATGTGTGTCCATGTATCTGTGTGTGGTGATGCGTGTCCATGTATCTGAGTGTGGTGATGTGTGTCCATGTATCTGAGTGTAGTGATGTGTGTGCATGTATCTGAGTGTGGTGATGCGTGTCCATGTATCTGAGTGTGGTGATGTGTGTCCATGTATCTGAGTGTGGTGATGCGTGTCCATGTATCTGTGTGTGGTGATGTGTGTCCATGTATCTGAGTGTGGTGATGCGTGTCCATGTATCTGAGTGTGGTGATGCGTGTCCATGTATCTGAGTGTGGTGATGCGTGTCCATGTATCTGTGTGTGGTGATGCGTGTCCATGTATCTGAGTGTGGTGATGCGTGTCCAAGTATCTGTGTGTGGTGATGCGTGTCCATGTATCTGTGTGTGGTGATGCGTGTCCAAGTATCTGTGTGTGTGGTGATGCGTGTCCATGTATCTGTGTGTGGTGATGCGTGTCCAAGTATCTGTGTGTGGTGATGCGTGTCCATGTATCTGTGTGTGGTGATGCGTGTCCAAGTATCTGTGTGTGGTGATGCGTGTCCATGTATCTGTGTGTGGTGATGCGTGTCCATGTATCTGTGTGTGGTGATGCGTGTCCATGTATCTGAGTGTGGGTGATGCGTGTCCATGTATCTGAGTGTGGTGATGCGTGTCCATGTATCTGTGTGTGGTGATGCGTGTCCATGTATCTGTGTGTGGTGATGTGTGTCCATGTATCTGTGTGTGGTGATGCGTGTCCATGTATCTGTGTGTGGTGATGCGTGTCCATGTATCTGTGTGTGGTGATGCGTGTCCATGTATCTGTGTGTGGTGATGCGTGTCCATGTATCTGAGTGTGGTGATGCGTGTCCAAGTATCTGTGTGTGGTGATGCGTGTCCAAGTAAACGTCAAGTGGCAGACATTCCATAGTCTGACTGTACATATATAAACTTTAAGTGGCAGACAGTCCATAGTCTGACTGTACATATATAAACTTTAAGTGGCAGACAGTGCATAGTCTGACCTGTACATATATAAACTTTAAGTGGCAGACAGTCCATAGTCTGACTGTACATATATAAACTTTAAGTGACAGACAGTCCATAGTCTGACCTGTACATATACAATCTTTAAGTGGCAGACAGTCCATAGTCTGACTGTACATATAAAAACTTTAAGTGGCAGTCAGTCCATAGTCTGACTGTACATATATAAACTTTAAGTGGCAGACAGTCCATAGTCTGTCCTGTACATATATAAACTTTAAGTGGCAGACAGTCCAAAGTCTGACCTGTTCATATACAATCTTTAAGTGGCAGACAGTCCATAGTCTGTCCTGTACATATACAATCTTTAAGTGGCAGACAGTCCATAGTCTGACTGTACATATATAAACTTTAAGTGGCAGACAGTCCATAGTCTGTCCTGTACATATATAAACTTTAAGTGGCAGACAGTCCATAGTCTGACCTGTACATATACAATCTTTAAGTGGCAGACAGTCCATAGTCTGTCCTGTACATATACAATCTTTAAGTGGCAGACAGTCCATAGTCTGACCTGTACATATACAATCTTTAAGTGGCAGACAGTCCATAGTCTGTCCTGTACATATATAATCTTTAAGTGGCAGACAGTCCATAGTCTGTCCTGTACATATATAATCTTTAAGTGGCAGACAGTCCATAGTCTGTCCTGTACATATATAAACTTTAAGTGACAGACAGTCCATAGTCTGACTGTACATATATAAACTTTAAGTGGCAGACAGTCCATAGTCTGACTGTACATATATAAACTTTAAGTGGCAGACAGTCCAAAGTCTGACCTGTACGTATATAATATTAGACTCGCAGATAGTCTATAGTCTGCCCTGTACATATATAACCTCAGAGTCATGGTTAGTCCAATATTGACTCTGTGTTTGTGTGTGTAACTGGAGTTGGATGTTGTCTGGCAGATTTTGCCGATGTTTGTCATGGATGTGCTGGGAGATATCGTGGGTCTACCGGGTCTCTTTGTGGCTGGACTCTTCAGTGGAGCTCTCAGGTAAGTTGTCACATACAACTTTACACAACGGAAGAAAACAATCAAGTAGAGCATGCTGGGTAGTTTGTGGTATCTACACAACGATGGGTGATTAACTAAGTATTATCTTTACTTGTAAACAATAAGAAAGACAGAGAGAGAGATAGAGAGAGAGAGAGAGAGAGAGAGAGAGAGAGAGAGAGAGAGAGAGAGAGAGAGAGAGAGGAAAAAAGAGATAGCGAGAGAGAGAGAGAGAGAGAGAGAGAGAGAGAGAGAGAGAGAGGAAGAAAAAAGAGAGGGAGAGAGAGAGAAGAAAGAGAGAGAGTGAGTCCAAGACTCAACACTGCGGGGAAGGAGATTAAACAGCATTAGAGAGTACAGTTTAGATGATAGATAACAGGTAGACTTTTTGTAGTTTTTTAGTGTAGTTTTTGTGTGCCTGACTTGTCACCATCAAGCATATGTCTTCAGCATAATGTAGGTTGTTTATATTGTGACCGCCAACCAAATTTCTAAAACACAAATGGAGACCAGTAATAAAGCCTGTTATTATGTCAATATTTACAGACAATTTGACTAAACATTTGTGCATGTTATCTGGCCCACTAGACGTGTGATTGGATGGTACAAATACCAACAAGCAGGTGTCAGCTTGTACAAATCTATTCAGACATGATCAGAGGATGCAAACATGCAAACAGAAATATGAATGCCAACCAACAGATTATACTGATTATCCATCTGTGTCAAAACTGTATTGCACAGTGTTATACACATGTCATTAGTGACATTGTATAACACGGTGCAGTACACTGATGACATGTGTATAACACTGTGCAGTAAACTGATGACATGTGTATAACACTGTGCAGTAAACTAATGACATGTGTATAACACTGTGCAAGACACTAATGACATTTGTATAACACTGTGCAGTACATTAATGACATGTGTATAACACTGTGCAGTACACTAATGACATGTGTATAACACGGTGCAGTACATTAATGACATGTGTATAACACTGTGCAGTACATTAATGACATGTGTATAACACGGTGCAGTACATTAATGACATGTGTTTAACACTGTGCAGTACATTAATGACATGTGTATAACACGGTGCAGTACACTAATGACATGTGTATAACACGGTGCAGTACATTAATGACATGTGTATAACACTGTGCAGTACATTAATGACATGTGTATAACACGGTGCAGTACATTAATGACATGTGTATAACACTGTGCAGTACATTAATGACATGTGTATAACACGGTGCAGTACACTAATGACATGTGTATAACACTGTGCAGTAAACTAATGACATGTGTATAACACTGTGCAATACACTAATGACATTTGTATAACACTGTGCAGTACACTAATGACATGTGTATAACACTGTGCAATACACTAATGACATTTGTATAACACTGTGCAATACATTAATGACATTTGTATAACACTGTGCAATACACTAATGACATTTGTATAACACTGTGCAATACATTAATGACATTTGTATAACACTGTGCAATACACTAATGACATTTGTATAACACTGTGCAATACATTAATGACATTTGTATAACACTGTGCAATACATTAATGACATTTGTATAACACTGTGCAATACACTAATGACATTTGTATAACACTGTGCAATACATTAATGACATTTGTATAGCACTGTTCAGTACACTAATGGCATGTGCAAAACACTGTGTGTAAGAAGAAACTGACATATATTGTAATGTATTCCAGCACTATTTCTTCGGGGCTAAACTCCATCTCTGCCTGTGTCCTGGAAGACGTTATCCGAATCTACTTCAAGTCGTACATGAAAGAGAGCAGGGCGAGGATTGTGTCCCAGGTGCTGGGTAAGTTCTGAATCTACTTCAAGTCGTACATGAAAGAGAGCAGGGCGAGGATTGTGTCCCAGGTGCTGGGTAAGTCCCGAATCTACTTCAAGTCCGTACATGAAAGAGAGTCGAGGGCGAGGATTGTGTCCCAGTGCTGGGTAAGATTCTGAATCTACATTCAAGTCGTACATGAAAGCTGAGGGCAGGGCGAGGATTGTGTCCCCAGGTGCTGGGTAGTCTGAATCTACTTCAAGTCGTACATGAAAGAGAGCAGGGCGAGGATTGTGTCCCAGGTGCTGGGTAAGTTCTGAATCTACTTCAAGTCGTACATGAAAGAGAGCAGGGCGAGGATTGTGTCCCAGGTGCTGGGTAAGTTCCGAATCTACTTCAAGTCGTACATGAAAGAGAGCAGGGCGAGGATTGTGTCCCAGGTGCTGGGTAAGTTCTGAATCTACTTCAAGTCGTACATGAAAGAGAGCAGGGCGAGGATTGTGTCCCCAGGTGCTGGGTTAAGATTCTGAATCTACTTCAAGTCGTACATGAAAGATGATCGGGTGCGAGGATTGTGTCCACGGTGCTGGGTGTAAGTTTCCCGAATCTACTTTCAAAGTCGTACATGAAAGAGAGCAGGGCAAGGATTGTGTCCCAGGTGCTGGGTAAGTTCCGAATCTACTTCAAGTCGAACACTGAAAGATAGAGCATGGCGAGGATTGTGTCCCAAGGTGCTTAGGTTAAGAGTTCTGAATCGACTTCAAGTCGTACATTGAAAGAGAGCAGTGGCGAGGATTGTTTTCCCAGGTGTCTTGGTAAGTTCCCGAATCTACTTTAAGTCATACATGAAAGAGAGCATGGCGAGGGATTGTGTCCCAGGTTGCTGGGTAAGTTCCGAATCTACTTCAAGTCGTACATGAAAGATAGCAGGGGCGAGGAGTTGTGTCCCAGGGTGCTGGGTTAAGTTCATTGAATCTACTTCAAGTCTTGCATGACAAGAGAGCAGCGAGCGAGATTGTGTCCCACGTGTGCTCGTGGTAAGTTGGCATAACCCTAAACATGTTGTAGCTCAGTTAACAAAGAAGATTTCTGCGGCATGAGTCTGTAAAGGGCTCAAAATAGCTGGGGGGGGGGGGGGGGGGGGGGAAACAAAATATTACTTGTCATCCTGATCAATCAGAATTTACAGATAGTAACCTAGAACACCACAACGTTTATTTGGAAGTAACCTACACTGAACAGATATTTGTTAATGTAACAGTAGATGATAAGATGATCAATAGTGCTAGAGTAGCAATGGATGAGAATTATTTGCTAAATCAACAACAAATGAGATATATAGTGAAAGTAAATGAAATATGAATAATATTTGCCTCGCTGACAACATAAATAGTAGACTAACAATGCATGACATGCAATACTCACATAAGACACAAAAAGCCTGGCAATTGCTGAGTAATTTAACTAAATTATTATATTTACTTAGAAAATCAGACCAAACGATTGCTATACTAGTTTATCAAAAATTGACCTTGTGAAACCTTCTCAGACTTTGAAAGATATTTAGCAAGTTAACAAAACATCGAGGATATTGATGAGTTTCAAGAAGATGAATAGTGTAGTAGGTTCAATATATATAGTAGATTCCTTTATACCTTTAACTTAAGGTAAATATTGCATATGGTTTACAACACTTGCGTACTCTCAAAGTGAAAATGTCTCTTCTAGGCAAACAAGACACGAAAGCGAGTTTCATAGGTTGGCTAAAACAGTGGACAATATTTGTATAACAGCAAAACGTCATAGATACAGGGTGTGTTCGTGTTTAATGGACTTGTTTATTGAGAAAATATTGCAGTTTCTATTTTTGAAACGATTGTCTGTGGCGTTAACTGCACCTTTTAGGTGGTCTAATTCTGTGTCTTATTTTGGTTACCGGTTTCTACATTTGGCAGCTTTATCTACAATTGTAAGCTTTAAAGTCTACATTACAGCTTTATCTACATTACAGCTTTATCTACAATTCTGCAAGCTTTATCTCATTGCAGCTCTATCTACATTGCAGCTCCATCTACATTACAGCTCTATCTACATTGCAGCTTTATCTACATTACAGCTTTATCTACATTACAGCTTTATCTACATTGCAGCTTTATCTACATTGCAGCTTTATCTACATTACAGCTCTATCTACATTGCAGCTTTATCTACATTGCAGCTCTATCTACATTGCAGCTCTGTCTACATTGCAGCTCTATCTACATTGCAGCTTTATCTACATTGCAGCTTTATCTACATTGCAGCTTTATCTACATTACAGCTCTATCTACATTGCAGCTTTATCTACATTGCAGCTCCATCTACATTGCAGCTCCATCTACATTGCAGCTTTATCTACATTGCAGCTTTATCTACATTACAGCTCTATCTACATTGCAGCTTTATCTACATTGCAGCTTTCTCTACATTGCAGCTTTATCTACATTACAGCTTTATCTACATTGCAGCTTTATTACTTACAGCTTTAAACTAATTGGAGCTCTTTTCTACTTGCAGCTCTATTACATTTAGCTTTATCAAAATTTTCAGCTCTATCATTTTCAGCTCTATCTACAGGCAAACTTTATTACATTTCAGCTTTTTCTACATTTCCCGCTCTATCTACATTTCAGC